GGAAAGAGAACTGCTGTGTTGGTGGCTAACTGAGATGATGTCCACTCTTTCAACAGGAGATGATATTGCCGTGACGTTCCTGCCAGTGGCCACTATTAAATCCTGTGTATCCTCTATGCTACTGCACAAGGTCAGACTCCACAGGGGAGTAAACAACACTATTCCCTAGAACAAGAGTACCTCCGTATGGAGGTCAAAAGTGACAACGGTTCTGTAAACCAAACTGATTGCACTAGAACGATATAAGATTATTGCATTAGAAACTGGGTTAATTAAAGTTTAACTAGAGAAAAAAAAAAAAAGAGTATTTTTGATTCAGCTATTATGTAAACAGGACAGACAAACCCCCCTAAATAACAACATTTATAGCAAAAGAACAACAGACAGCTTTAAAAAGGACTTTTCCCTGTTTGCTTCCACACTTCTTTGGCTCCTTTAATGCTTTCTCTTTTCACACACTTCCAGTAACCTTGAATGCCTTGCTGTTGCGGTACCTGTTAATAAAGTTAAAGTATGTTTAGTAGTTACACAAAAAAGACTCTTATTCACAGACTGTGTAAATATAACATGTGATGCAATGCTGTTGCTCCCATAGTTCACATGCATAGTAAGAAGTTCTTGGTAGCAGCACTCCTCCCAGATTCATAAGCAGTAAGGAATCTTCAGTTTAAAATATAACTTCTTTTTATTTGCTATCGCTACTTGTGTTTCTATAACTGTTAACAAGATAGTTGTAGCAATCATCTGTGGTATTTAGAAACAATGATGTCAGCTTGTTACCCTCAAACCTCGATGAATTCGGTTCCTCAGGACTCCAAGAAACTCGCCGTGGCTCAAGCAGTCATCTCCATCTAGATCAAAAATCTTGAAGATGGTATCCAAAACATTATCTGAGAGCTCCTGTCCTGTTGCCACCTTCACTGCTCTCTTAAACTCAGCTAGTAAAGACACAATATTACATCATAAGGGATTGAACTTGCAAAGAAATGGAAAACACATAAATAGCAGGATTCTGTGCAATTTACAATGTCTCATGAGTATCCTCACTGGAGAATTTGAGATGTGTGAACTGGTAAACTATTAGGAGGCCTCATGCATTCTTGAGCTTGCTTCATCTTTCATAACACAATCTTCAGTAAGTACATGATAAACTTTTGAAATGCACTACTTCTCAAGCAACAGTGAGAGTGGTAATTTTTGCTAGAAATAGCTGCATGCTGAAAACTTACGTACTTTTGGCTGATACCAGTGCACATGGATGACAAGTGTTTGCCTCACTATGGTCGCATTAAAAAATACTACTATTTTATCTCAAACCAGTTTCATGCCAATTCATTCTGCAAGAAAAATCTTCTCCTCAGAGAACAGTATTTTACAATATGCTCCACCTCAACCAACAATCCCCTCAGCAACTCTGTAGAAATACAAATCATCAAATACTCAACGCACTGTTTACAGCACATGGCTTTATATACCTGTAGTTCTGTTCTTTAAAGAAGTCTGTTACCTTCTCTTAAATCCTGATGGAAGAATTTATGAGGATTTATGGCAGAAAAAGCTGTCATACCTCTCTGGACATCTACTTTCCTCTTCAGCTTTTTTGCCTTCTCTCTTTACAGTACCATAAGCATTACAGTAATACCTACTATCTCCACTTTTGGTCTTGTGGTGTAAAGAATTGGGAGTTTTGACTCAAGGAAGATGAGGAAATGTGTGGGGTTGCCATAAATCAGAAGATAGCAAGAGTGAAATGATTATTGTTTATGATAGCAAGCACAATCACAACACATGAGTTGGGTGCATTTTTGAAGGTATCACAGAAAAGTGAATTTCAAGGAGGGACTGGAGGTTATTAAAGTATAGCAGTATTGTAGGTTATTACAGCAAGTTGTTCAACAAAGTCATAAATATAGTAATAATGTGGTTCTGCTTTCATAAACAAGTGCTGTTTATAAATAGCGCTATAAATAAGATTAGTTCTGAAGCTTACTAGAGGAAAGAGCACTCCTGACTTAGCTCTGATCTTTGCCTCTTTGAACAATTCCTGTATAAATGCAGTTGATTAATTTACAGTTGATTTAAACATAATTAAGTTGAAAATCCTTCTGTAAAAGGATATGCCACAATTTGAAAAGGACATGAAATATGGGATGCTTATAGTAGAGTCTTAATTTTGCCTTTAAAAAGTTGTTAACTCTTTCAGCTCTTGAAGGTAAATATAAATCCAGAGACGGCACTGCACTCTTTTGAACATAACATGAAGAAAAGAAGGCGGCTCTTCTAAAATGGTGGAGCATAATAACCTTCAAAGTCAGAAGGGCCACCTTATCAGAGAGAAAAGATGAGCTGCTAACTTACAAGAAAAAAAAGTCTAGAATAAAAGGAAGGACTAAAGGACTGTCTTATTTTTAGATAAATATTCATATGTGTGTGAATACACACATGTACACACATGCAAACAGCAAGACAAAGAACTTAGTGAGATTCAGGAACGAATTAGACATGTATACATGTAACATCCGTGAATTACCTCAGGAGCTGACTGTTTTCGATCACAGTATGGTTCAGTGCATAAACAGAGTCACAACTGCCTGTTGGTTAGGTATGAGTTTTTAGAAGGAAACATTACCAGGGTCAACATCGACTGTTGACCTCATCAACCTTTGGCACTTAAAGAAGTGAGCTAAACTCTCGTTTCTCACCTATGACTACTATTTCACCATTAACTCATCCTCTTCCCTCTCCACTATTTGTACACCTTGTGCAAATAAAATCTGTCTCCCCCCACTGAAGAAAGATGTTGTCAAACCAGCAGAGGAGGGCCATGAACCCAGCTGGGAACTGGAGCACATGATGGAAGAACAGAAGCTGAGGGAGCTGGGGAGAACAGAGGTGTAACGGGGGATCTCTGCAGCCCTTGGACCACCTGAAAGGGGTTATAGGGAAGAGAGTGCCGTATTTTTCTCAGGGTGCATGGAGGTAAGACACAATTGTTGTAAGTTGCAGCAAGAGTTTGACACAGAAAAGTCTTCACGATGAGAGTGGTCAAGCACTAGAACAGCTGCCCGGAGAGGCTGTGGAAGCAAAACTCTTCCTGAAGGCTGGATTAACCAGTGATGGAAGTCACAAGTTGTAACCCCCTCAGTTTTGGCCTTCCTTCATTCAAACGATGTTCACACTTCTCTCTCAAGAATAGTGAATTATCTTCCTGTCTTCTCAGATCTCTCTCACCTTTTTCACATTAGCCCATCAAATATTTATTTCAATGAACGTTAATATCTCATCAAATTTCCTTAGGGACTTTTTACGTTGCTGTTTTCAAATAACTTACGAGAGCTGTCTTTCAAGTCTAACAAGTAAGAAACCACCTCAGGATTACAACAAAAAGCATTTTTATGTCCATGAAACTTTTGTTGCATTGCTCCTATTTCTACTGCATGGGAAAGAAGCAACTTCCCTCCTCCAAATCTTTATTTTAGAAATCACTTTAGTACACTGTTTGTTTTTCATAGCCGTGATTGCATAATGGTACCTAGGCACATGGAGACGGCAGTATGGAGGCCTAAGTGTAACACAGCAAGATGCCACAGATCCTGCAAAAGAAGAGATTTCTATTGTTTAGTTTCCTCAAAAAAGTAGTTTCGCTATGAGGAAAAAGCTTTGTTACCATGAATTGCTACTGAAGCATGTATTGTTTCAATAGATCTAGAATTTAGATTGGACTGAGAGCAGCCCTACGGAGAAGGACTTGGGGGTACAAGTGGATGAAAAATTGGGTATGAGCCAGCAGCATGTGCTTGGCAGCACAGAAGGCCAACTGTAGCCTGGGCTGCATCCAAAGCAGCGTGGCCAGCAGGCCAAGGGAGGTGATTCTGCCCTTCTACTCTGCTCTGGGGAGCCCCCAGCTGCAGTCCTGCATCCAGCTCTGGAGCTCTCAGCACAGGAAAGACATGGACCTGTTGGAGCGGGTCCAGAGCAGGGCCACAAAAATGGTCAGAGGGATGATACAGCTCTCCTGTGAGGACAGGCTGAGAGTTGGAGTTGTTCAGCCTGGAGAAGAGAAGACTCCGGGGAGACCTTATTGTGGCATTTCAGTACTTAAAGGGGCCTTATAAGAAAGACGTAGAGAGACTTTTTACCAATGCCTGTAGTGATAGGACAAGGCAAAACGGTTTCAAACTGAAAAAGAGTAGATTTAGACTGGACATAAGGAAGAAACTTTTTACGATGAGGATGGTGGGACACTGGAACAGCTTTCCCAGAGAAGTTGTGGATGCCTCATCTTCAGAAGTGTTCAAGGTCAGGTTGGATGGGTCTTTGAGCAACTAGTGAAAGATGTCCCTGCCCATGTGAGCAGCGGGTTGGGCTACATTTTCTTTAAAGGTCCCTTCCAACCCAAACCATTCTATGATTTTATGGTTTAGTCTGTTGTGAACTGTTCAGCATATGATAGCACATTAGAACTTACAAATCAAAACATTTTGGGAACTTTATATTCCTGTTTTTTCATTAAATAGAATTAATTCAGAATAAAGAGCAGTATGGTATTTTTGGACTTCATAGCGCTACTTTGGGATAACGTATTTACATTAAGTCTGTAATAAAAATGCATTATTTCTTTTAAAAAAAATATGTGAAAGGTATGCAGCACTTACCCCGTTTAACAGGACGATTGGCTACAGTAAACATCTGCATGGCAATAGAAAAGTCTTCCAGGTTGTTTGTGAACTTGCAAAAAGTCTTGAATTCTTCCAAACTGATATTCTAGAGTACCACAAAATTCAGATGGTATATAATGCATAATACATTCACACCCTAGTAAATCTATTTCAGGAAATCTGGTGAGACCTAGTGTTTAAGTATGATTGCTTACTCATTGTCAATATTTGTATTTTTCAGGGGGCAAATTATCTTATCTGCATAAAATGCAAAAGCTGCAATAATTCACCTGGAAACTAGTTACATTATTAGATACTTATATTCAAATGAAAACCTGTACATACAAATGAAGAAGCAAAACAAAGCATGCTTTATATACCAACCTCTCCTGCCTCAATTCTGTCTTTCACATTCTGCCAGTAAATTTCATTGTTTTCCTCATCGGTGAAGTACAGTAACCATTCTGCAAAGTCTTCTTTTCTCATGACATTCAAACCCTTTGAAAACTTTATGAATTCCATTTCTTGGACTTCTGTTTGCAGATTTTCCATGAATCTAAGGGTAAACAGATATCATCCAACAGTTGATACTTGCATCACTGTATCACTTCTACTACCTTAGCTACTAAATGCAGGAGACACTAACCCTTAATCACAAATACTATCTATGTCATTGTTTAAAATGTCACTGGTTTAATTTTTACCTGCGTGTGCAGATTTGTTTCCACAGCTGCATTTCAATAATGACACCAGTAGGGTGCTCTCTAAGTCTGCATTCATAGATTGTTGCTGCCAAGATAATTTACTGATACACTTGGCATATAGTTTTTACCAGTGTTTAAAAAAGTGCAAATAATGAGATAAAATGATTGGTAAGGCAGTATAATAATGAGTGAATGAAAAAGAACGTGGTGACTAAAAGGCCTGACACATGATTTATGAAATTTCATATTAATAGAGAGAGGAATGACAAGGTTGGAAAGTGCCTTAAAAGATGAGGCCCTAAAAATCACAAAGGTGAAAGAAAAGAGGAAACTTGAAATCATCACTGCAGGAAAAGATGACTAAAAGCCTCAAAGATTATAACTGCAAAGCGGGGTTTGGCAAATCAGTTCTGCACTCACTAGAGGACGGATTAGAGAGGATTACAACTGACATGTACAGAGTTCAGAAAAGCACAGAAAATGATGTTGCAGGTGTTTGGGAAGGTACGAAGAGACCTGTCTGAAAAAGGAAGGGGTGAACATCAAGGTTTTTAGGAGACACCCATTCCTTTAGAAAGAAGAGAAAAACATATCACGGGAAGCAAGTAACAACCTGCAGGTACAGAGCTAGATCTGTAAGCAGAGTTGCAGCTTTGAGTTTCCCCAGTTTGGTCTATGTGGCCATTATAACTTCTTCTGATATGAATTTTGAGAAAGTAAAAGACAATGCTGTGCGATCCATTTGGCAATTTCCACTTCAGAAATGGGGCAATCCAAAATTGCTGATTTTTAAATATGTGAAGGCTAAAAACACAGTGCTGCTTGCCAGAATCCCTTTGGTACTTTGAAAGAACCCTATTTTATTGAGTTGCAAAAATTATTGACGGGAGAGAATTAAATACTCCTATACTGGGACAAAGCAATTAGTTGGAGAAGGGAACAGCTAAGGGTCTGTGTAGCCAGTATCAGTAGGGGCTCATTTGCTCATAAACGTTTGCATGGCCTCACTGGGTTTGAATTCTTTCCCCTGAAATTGCGGCATTTTAGTCCACACAGCTATCTTTAGTTCTTTAATGAGATCACTTGGACAGTTAGTATCTCGAAGATCTGTGAAGTCTATATGGGGTTAGCTGAAGACTGCTGTCACAGCATAAGCGCTCTCTTGCATTTTTTCCTCTAATAATTAGAGCTGCACATGCAAGGGCCAACAAATACTTCACATTTGTTGAAGCTCTGGACATGCAGGCAAATGAAAGCCTGACAGTGGAAGTGATTTTATGTTTCAGACTAGTTTTATTAGGGTAATACTGAGGAGGGGTATGATACGCTCTCACATTTTATATGGATATTTTTTTTGTCCAGTAAAGGGGGTTACAAGGCCTCCACAGCACAGTCAAACACGGGTATCTTCCTCCACAGTCCACCTTAAAACCTGGCTCCCTTTCGTGTCCCCCAACCGTCCCTCTCACAAGGGGATGAAACACCAAAGGACCTGTTTGTACCACCAATGTGAAAAGGAGGCCCCTTGTCTTACAGACCGGCAAGCGCTTACTTGCACAGCTTGCAAACCACTCTTCAGTTTTCAGATGCAGCTCGTGAGGTGACTGCTGCCTCCGGCCAGCCCAGCACTCGGCACGTGCTGGGGAGACCGGCCAGCACAGACTGGCAGAACCAAGTCCTGCCGCACCGCTTGCACGAGCCTCCATGGATCCTGGGAAAGGAGGTCAAGCTGTGGGCGGAGAGGACAGCATGGACCAGGCATGGAGTCAGTCTAGCAGAGACTGACTAGGGCCACTTGGCTGCATTTTGGGAGTGTCCGTCAAGGGCGAGGAGTAGATGGTATCTGGGACGTGGGGCTTATGCTTGGCTGGAAGTCACAGCAGAGAGCATGCAGAACAGTAACTGCATCTTTGACTGTCGTTTCCAACCCATGTAACATCTGGTCTGGGGGAGGAGAAGCTGCTGAAAATGAGGTCACTTTCAGAAATATGCGTAAAATGTGGATGTAGGTAAACAAGACACCACGTGCTTTATTTTCTTGGCTTTTAACCTATGAAAGGTAGACACGTTTTGCAACAGACTTAAGGTCTGTTATTGGAAGTATGAATTCTTGGGGAGCTAACGCTCAGTACTGGTCAGTAGCCACAGGTGATGACAAACCATGTATTCTTCCATCTTTTCTAAATATTATATTTCCTTAAGGAGAAAACCCTCAGTGACCTGCCCTCTAGCCATACCCATTAAAGGCAGGACAGCTCAAAGACCAAGCATTTCTACATGCTGAGGAAGGAGCAAGTGGCCCATGTAGCCACACACATAAGCCAGCTGAAAGGTGCAGCAAAGCCAAAGAGGAAAGTGAAGGGTTTGGCTGTGGCATTTTTGATGTGTTCTTCCTTCTGAACCCTCCTCTAGTCAGACAGCAAATGAAGCATTATATTTCCCCAGCTCCACTGTGGGTTTTCCACTGCCTTTTCTCAGGCCTGGGTTCTTGCCCTCCCCAGTTGCTTTGAGGCAAGGACACCGCACCCTTCCTGTGGCACAAGAGCTGTGCCTCTTGCTGGCCTGCGCAGAGCAGGGAACGGAATGGGAATTACTTATTTAAGTACAAAAAAATTAATGGGTATTTCATTTCAACTTGTAGGTTCGCTCCTGGCAAGCCAGAGTGGGAAGATTTCCTGCCGTACCAAATGCTACTTGGAGCAGCAGCTGAAATGTGCAATTTAAAATTTATATGTGATAGCTTCCCATATTATAAAAATTAAAATACTATGAATCATCACATCAGCATTCTAGGTCACTCTTATTCCCAGATGTGAGAGTTGAAAATCCTAATGAGTTTTTTTAAGTTATTAAAAGTTATTAAAATAACTTTCTGGTTAGGATGTAAAACTTGATACTTAAATGCCAAGACACCACTAGGGATCCTTGCTTTTGTATCTTCTGGATCACAGTGTGATGAATTTCAGCTGGAAATTCCTTAAAAATTTCTTCAGGTATTAGGAAAAACAAGCATAGGAATGAAATTCCTGCTCTCCCAAAGTCAGGGGGAGCTTGGCTGGGGACTTTGAAGGGAGCCATAATTCAACTATGGAAACAGGATTCTGACTGTAGATGTGCTTTACAATTAAAAAAATAATTACACTGGGAATAGTCTTATGCTATAGCAGCTTGAAAATAAAAGCAAGCCCTAAGTTTCCAAACAACAAAAAGGAAGGCAAATCCTAAATTCATATGATGGAGAAAAGTCTGGGAACACACAGTACTTTCTTTAAGAGAGCCTGTTTTATCCACACTCTCTAAAACACCCACATTGAAGGCCAATGGCCAAATTCGTTATCGTGTTACAACAGCATCCAGAAACCTTATCAGGATTTATCCCTCATTTTGTAATGTGCTTTACAGATCTATAGAAAGAGGGAGTCTCTCAAGACTTTTTGGCAACTCAGCTTTAATAGAAGTAAAAATGCAGTAAAAGTGGGGAGACCTGAGGAATGCAGCTGTTCCCCCTCCAACCTGAGATGTTGCAATGAAGTGCTAGGAATACAAAGCAGTAGAATGAAACACAAAAGGAAAGGTTAGGGAAAGTTTTTCTTTCTATACCTCTTGACCTGAACTGAAAGTCTGTGTAGAGCTTTAATACGGTGATACAGAACTGACTCGTTCTTGTTGCACTGATTTATAGGAAGGAAATTTAACAACAAAGATAGTGATGGATATACCACCCTGGCATTTGTACTCTGCTTTGGCTCCTCTTTCGATACACAAGTCCTTCTGAAGACCTGATAACCCTCTCTGCACCAAAGGGCTGTTGCAAACCAGCTGCAAGGTTGCCTTTTTGCAAATCTGAGTTTCAAAACAGAATATAGAAAATCTAATAAGGGCTTGACCATTAACCTTTACAGAACATTTAGACCTATGCTTGTAAATTCAGTTTTGCAAGTGGTAAGACAGTTAACCAATCTTACCATTTTCAGAATTACAGGCAAAAGCCCCTTTGATTTACTGTCCTCAATGTTTCCAAACCAAACCTCACAAAACTACTCACTTTCATTTAGAAGCATCCTGTAGAAATTAATTAAGCTATTCCTTTGCTAAGTATATAGGAAAGGAAGAAACAGAGATTCTTCTCAGCATCATTACTAAACATTTGGAAAACATTCAGATTCAGCTATGATAGGAATACACAATCACAGTGCCAGATTTTGTCCCCATCTCCACCTCCTCCCTGTCTGATCCTGGTTGCACGAGATGTCATCCCTACGTGTATTAGGGGCTTATACACACGCACACAGATACAAGTGTAGGTACAGAGACAAATAAGGAGGCAATCACATTCTGTATCTGCAAAGCACTTCCAAATCCCTAGATGAAAACCACTGAAAACATACAAGCTATCATCACAGCAAAAGCACTACTGGTTGATGATGCTACCTAAAAGAGATCCTGCATCCATGCATTGGCACAAACACAGCACAGCATCGGACAAATGTCAGCACTAGCAGAGTGGTTCAGCCTGGACCATTCTGGTTTCTTAAATAAAAGGTTTCAAATGAAATGTACCAAGGAATTCAAAATACTGAAGGAAAAAAAACAGGCCAGGCAGGGAAAAGGCATGTTTCGTGTATGACTATATAATTTGGGACCTTCAAGCTAAAGCGGAAAATAAAAAAGAAACCATGATTAAACAGTATTTCTGCTGCAAAATTCTATGAGGAATGTGGAAGCAACAAATCAGATAAGAAAATGTCATAAATTGGATCTGAAATGTTAATTTTCCTTACATGATTACAAGATACCCATTGTTTAACCGTACCAGGAAGTACGTTTTTGTAAGCCGTCCCAGGAAAAAAATACAAAGTTTTTTGAATATTTTTTCCATACTCTCTGCACTTTTTCTTTCTTTTTTTCCTTCAAGGAGATTGTGAGAGATTTAAGTTTGCTTGGGGACAGATTACAGAAAAAAAATAATAGCAGTCGTAAACTGTTTAGGGAGTGAATTACTGTCTCCTCTTTTATTTGGGATTAGACATACTTAAACAAGATCAGTAAGGGACTTTTTCAGGGAAAAAAAACAGTGGCTGTCAGGAAGAAATATTTGCTATACCTAGAAAGCTAAATAGTCTTCTACTCTGAATAAAAAAGTATATACAATATAGCTGGAAATTAAAGCATAAGTGAAACATTTTTTGGAAGGAAAAGATCAAAAATTATTTGTCTCAAAAAACAGGGGAAACTGCTATGAATAAGAAAAAAAAGCCTGGAATCCCAAAGAACATCTGACTTCATGATTGAAATCTGACATTCTATAAGATGGGACCTGGTATTAGAAGATGACGTTATTGTTGAGGTGTAAAACTGAGTGGTGGTCATCTGAAACAGAAATTTGTTCAGGTCTTCTGAGAAGAAAGTCTCACCTGGTTACAGCTTCTTGTGTTAAATTTAGCCTTCTGTTACATGATTCTAGGTTTGCTGCATATTGTTTTGTTTTCTTAAACTTATACAGGGTAACAACGATTCCAGCTGCACTTGACCAGGAGGCACCACTGTTACTAGCGATGTACATAAACATGCTCCAGAATAATTTAGATTTAAATTTCCTAACTTTTGCCAGGGAAACAAGCTGACACTTTTGAAGTGGTAAATTATTAGGAATAATTATCATATTGTCCTTATGTTACGGACAATACAACTGTCAGGAAACCACGTAGCAGTCTGGAGCTGAACATGTGTTCCTTGAGTCCTACCTTAGGATCTCTGAAACCACCTTGTTACTATGGGAAAGACACAGGATGGTTGGGTGGGCTTCCTGGACTGCTTCCACTACTTCGAAGCAGTCCCTGAAGAAGGAAGCGGGAGTCCCACCACTGCTGCTCAGCAGAGAATGAAAAGCAGCAGCTTTGGTTGCTGTTTTGACTATGCTCTGGAGGATAGTGAGAAAAGAGCTTGACTGGTGTCACAAAATACCTATGAAAACGTTATTTCTCTACTCTCATGCTCCCAGCAGCCCAAGGAAGGTTGAAAAGTGATCTGATATTCTGTTTCACGGTCTCATTCCTTATGTCCAGTAAAAAACTGCCTGAGGATTGTCCTTGTGTGTATCGCCTACCTATGATTTCCAAAGACCATGAACCAGGTGGAGACAGATGGAACACAGCCGGCTTAACCATTTTCCCTCCCTATAATCAGTGTGCCTCCCGTGTTCGGGGCAGTAGGAAAGGAGGCACAAAAGCTGGCTTACATCAGGTCCACGCTGGCTGAATGATGTAGACGGTTTCCATTTTCTGTGTGCCATCTGAATGCAAAGAAAGGAGAACAAGGCAAATTAATTGCCCTGATATATTGACTGTGGCTGCCCAACATGTTTTAAACGTTTCAACTGTGGGCTAAAAGGGTCGGACATCAGTGGTGTACATGTAGATACAGATGGCTGCACACTTACAAAAGAATTTTTTTAACGTCAGCCAAACTGAAAAGGAGGAAGCATGAGGAAAATATACGTAAGTAATGAGGTGAGAATGCTAGTCTCAGCTTTCTGAATTCCCATGTAAGTACAGTGAATTGCTTTTCTTTTTTTTAGTTTCAAGGACTCTACAGCACAGCAATATCTGTGTATTTAACTAATGTGACAAGTTTTAGTGTATCCTAATCAAACCTAATCACCCCTACTTTCTACTAGGTACTACACTGATCAATGGAAAAGCTTTCTAGGCAAGAACTTGGAAAATGATAAAAGCATTTGCCATCATTATTTTCTGCTTTTGACAATGATCTATGTCTGTACAGCTCATCAGTCATCTCTTGTAAAAACAGCGTGGCACTTTGATCAAACAGCCAACAATAGCTTCCCGCGTAAGGTAAAATGTTATGAGAGGCCATCAGATAGAAATCACATTTTCTCTGAACAATAGGAACCCAGAAATGATGTGCTTGATTTACTTGCAAATAAAATCATGTGAAAGGTGATATGTTCACACAGGTTAAAAAGACAGTGATCCTTTTATTCACCTTTCTGAGTGTTAAACAAACTTCACTGTCATGTTGCAACTGAGATGGAGTGTCTATGCAGTGATAAAGAGGCACATTCCAGCTCTACAAAACATAACTGCCACTGTTGAAAAATTACCTGCATTAAACCTTACACTTATCCCACAAATTTTAAGAGCAAGATGTGGGAGTTTGATTTTGATTACAGGCCTCTATCTGTGTGGTAGGCAAAGGTCTTTAACCTACATGTACTAGGTACATAGCTTCATCAATGTCATGCCTCATTGGGTCAATGCAGGATTTTATCTAAAACCTAAGGCTTTTCAGTTTACACTGTATATGCAAACACAACCTTTTACTGGTGCTCTCTGCCTTTTGTTTCATTGAGGGGATCTATGGTATTTATAGAAAAGGGAGCTGGAGGCGTCTTAAACTAATTTTACTCACTTTGATTCCTATTGAGTTGAGGTCTTCAAAAGAGAAATTGTGTTTATTCGAAGACCAGTGTGTGCCAGCGCCAGTGGAGCCGAACACTTTTTAGTGTTAGAAAAATTGCCACTCTTCCTTTTCTATTCTGGCTTTCTCCAAACCTCCACTGATTGCAACAACATTCATTTTTAAGAGGGCTGACAGCTTCCTCTTCTTCTGAACATAAGTTGAATAAAAACACATTATCCCAATTTATTTTTGCAGTCTGTAAATGACTGATTATTTTTCTACAAAAGGTAATACTGATGTAGATAACCTTCTCTGGATGTGGTGCTACAAGATGTGTGTCAAGATTCACACAGGTATTTAGGCACTTCCACTTATCTCAAAGAAACTGTGCATTTGGCTTCTAGGCCCAAGTTCACGTAGCAAGCTGTGTCTGGAGTTCATACTAACAGGAGACATTGATCTCCCAAGTAATAGAGAGTTTTAACCAGTTAAATTGTGATATTGTGTAGGTGGTGGTCATCACGACTGATTGAAACAAGCACTGGAAGAAAGAATCTCATCCAATTAAACACTAACAGCTGATACCTGGTTGGGTTTTCAAGTCAAGAGCAACCACAGCAGAACTTCCTACTCCAATGTAGACAAGGATTACACCATCCTTCTGACATGTATATGATGTATAAACTGAATGATTCCCTACACTAGTCTTAGAACTTTCTATTAACTTCTGATTTTGCAAAGCTTATGGTGAAATAGATGAGTATACAACATTACGTTTCCAGGAGTAACGTCCACTTGGTATTACACAGCAGTTTCAGTCTGATGTGGTGTTTGCCATAACTTAATTCCCAGTTCCAACATAAGTGCCACGAAGTATCTGCATAGTGCCATTACAAAAGTAATTCAAAGGGTAAAGGAAAAGGCACAGGTAAAGTTTCAACAGAAGCTGGAATTTGAAAGAAGCAGAGAAGTTGCCTGTAGCCTACCATGACAGTTGTAATGGGAAGGGGGGTGTCTCAGCTCAGAAAAGCTTCTTTTATTGATTAGAAGTCACTTTTCTGGTGATTTGATCAAGAAAAAGAAAATACTCATGAATCATATTGTCATGATCAATTGCTATGCTATTGCACAGTTGCCAAGAATGGTAGTCTCAACCCTTACGGCCTCCAGGCCCATGGCTGCTTTGGAGTTTTCATGGTGCTCAACTCCTCCTGCAGACAACAGACTCAAGGAGCTAAACTAGAAATTTAAACAGGCAAAATCATGAATCATCTCCTGCTTGATAACCTGCTTAACTTTCTGAACCAGCACAGTGTGAGGTCAGATTAATGCCAATGTTGGTGCAAAGTAGAAGGGGTAGGAACAGAACTGGTTGCTGTTAGGCTTGCCTAGCTGAAAAAAATACCTGAAAAACTCAGAATAGCGAAGTTTTTCCTTTCCTTCTTTTCCAAAGAAATGTACCAGCAACATGGTATTAACACCAGAGCTTTCCAGTTCTGCTCCCTATAAAACAAAAAAAAAGCATGATTAATTATTATGCCTTGTATGATTATTAATATTTATTCACCACAAATCTGGAAATACTTATTTTAACTAGAATTTCACACGAGATGCTTGCAATTTAATTACTGTTCCCAAAGCTATCACACAGGATCTCAGAGCTGAAGAGTTCTTTCACATCAACTGGCAACAGTGTATTGTATGTTCTGCTTCTAAATATTCTGTATGAAAGAGGAGTACATTTTTTACACATACATCTGTATGGAAGATGAGCACAATTTACAACCACGATCAGTGTATTTTATTATTCGAACTGAGAGGGTTGCCAGTTAAATCTTTAAAAACCTTTATGCTTAGGTGAATAGAGGCTTTAAGTAAAGTTAACATCTTCATAAAAAAGTTTTTAGTCAGATATTTCTAATTTGATACAGCCATTTAAAAACATTCATGATAGTCTATTAAACAAAACTAGAAAAATAAAAACATTCAAAGTGCTCTATTATAACATAGTCTTACAAGGCTTCTCGCAAATTTTCAGTGTTAGTGACTTTTCTAGATATTTTAAAAATCTGATTAAGAGATTTCTGCAGAAAAAGGATGCACATTATTTCAACTCAACAGCATCTTTAAGAAGCCTAAAACCACACATAACGCTGGATTTCTGTTCTATTCTTTCAGCACTAGCGTACTGGCATTTCTTTGAAAGCAACACTAAGCAACATGAAGAGATTTTTTTTTTTTGTAAGTCCGGAGGGATTTCAACAAACTATTCTTATGACATCTAAATAGCCTCTGTGTCTTTTATCTGGTTGAAGAGGTAAGATGAAAGACAAGACTCTATTCATAAGATTTAATACTAATGGTTATTTAGCTTTCAGCATCATCAATAACAAGGCCCATTAGTCCACTGTGTATTTCATGCTTACTGCATATGTGACACAGTTATTTTATAGTTAAAGAAGTAACATTCCTCATTTCTACTGCAAGCTACAATTCACTAATGCCAGTGATACGACATATGAGTGAACCTAGGAAAAAACCCAACTTTTGAAGCTATATACATACTGTACTTATTGAACTTCACCATTTAACTGCAGGCAAAAAATATTTAAATACCCACAAGATCCATCCTTCTAAAGTTTAAACACTTCAGATTACTGTGAAGATTGATGCATAAACATTAGTATATGCTTTTTTGAAAGTCAGAAGTCAAACATTAATGTATGCTTATTTGAAATTCAAACCCAAACTATTTATGTCAGAACACAAAGTTTTCTAAGAAGAAACAGAGAAGAATCCACACATTTCTCATTCCAGTGAGATTCTAATCTCCTTTTTGTGTTTTTTGCTTACATGTTTAAAAGCGACTTGAAAAATGCAAGAAATAAATTTTTTGGTGTAATTTTAAAAACTGAACTCATGATTATGCAATTTAAGGCTTCCAAATTAATTACTTCATGTTAAAATCAGTGCTGTCCTGAAAACAAACTGAAAAATGAGGTTTAAAATAACCTTTTAAAAACTAAGTCTGCAACAGAAAAAGTTTTTTTCTTTTATTCATGTTTCTCTAGTTATAAGCTAGAAGACATACAAACAATACCTATATCATCTTATCTAAGATGACAAAGCCTACCCCTGGATTTAAAACAAATATGCACCTACTTGTTGGCTACCCTCTTTACCAGCTGAAATTCCAACGTGGAATTGGCAGATGTCCAAACTCTATGTTAGTGAGAGTTAAATGTATTTTAAAACTACAAAACAGTACATTTCTTTAAAACAGAATATGCAAGAGCAGACCACAGAGACTACAGCTTAAGGGTAAAATTTCAAAAAACTGCTTTTCCTAGAGTTAATGCTATTAAATTTAAGTACATGTTAGTACATAATTCCTTTTTGTCCACAGAATCATTAGAAGCTTTTGCTGCTGAACTGTATAAATTAGTACCGACATGACAAATCTTTGTTAGAAGATAATGAGAGCTCTATTAATATTTCCAACACCTCACCCTCCTTGAGCTTAGGTAAAAGAATAACTTAACGTTTGGAATGTCTCTCTTGGCAATGAGAATGAAATGGTAACCTAATCCTGGAGCTGTAAAAAGGACCAGACTGGTAGCTTTGAGTCACAGAGCTACTATCTAAATTGAGTGAAAGTTTGTATTCTGGTGTATCTGGTGGCTTCAGCCTGGGCAGGGTGCAGCACAGAACCCTTTTGGGCTGTGTGCTTTACAGAAAGCCAAGGCACAGAGTAGAGAAGGGATGGTGATGTTCTGAGTTTGATCTTGATACAAGCACGGGATGGGGCAGCGACATGTATCTCAACTGGGGAGCTCAGACATGTTCCTGGGGCCCTTGGATCACACAAAGAACCCCGAAGACCAAGCTCTGATGCCACACAAGTCTATATGATTTAATGAACATGTGTGTACATATTACAAACATAAGCTTGTGTTCCTAGAGTAATGTTAACACCTCGTACACTTTTCAAAAGCACCATGAACTGCTGAATTATGCAATTATTCCTTTTTAAGCAAGATCAGATAACACAACATTTATTTCCTTATTACATTACGCAGACTGTTAACATAGAAGCCTGATGCTGCAAACACTGAGTCACGGGCACAGACCCACCTAATCCTGTAGCTCCTCACTGAGCTTTTGACATTTAGGACCTGATACTGCAGCAAGTAGCAACAAGTGCCACTGAGAAGAAACTTATCACACAGTGAGACAGGATTTTCAGAATAATGTACCTAGCTGATTTTCAAAACTCATCTGAAATGTTAATAGACTTACTGTCTCTAGATTCTTACCACCTTTCATTGCAGAATTTGCCTGAGGCATGACTGGAAAGCATTCATCATGATTAAAATCTGTAATATGTTCCTTGTTCTCTTACTCGCTTCCTGGGAGATGGTATTTGCTGTTCAATGTCTTATTTTTACAATTTTTATTGAAACAATATATATTTTGGATTGAATTTTTTTTTTGGTTAAGGTAGAAGGAGAGTGAATAGATGAAGAACAGAGGCAGAAAAGAGAGAAAGGTCGAGGACAACAATATCTTAGTTTCTGTCTGCTAGTGATGTCCCACGTCTTTCCAAAGGTAAGACTAAATCTTTGCAAATATTTCTGAGCCCACTTCTTGGATGTTCTTTGTTTTTCATGTGCTAGGTCAGTCAATTCATCATGGCAGGCTCCTATCCGTGGAAGCAACGTAGACTTCAATCTAAGCAGCCTAGCCTCAAACATGGCTCAAGAGCATCAACCTTTCTATCATTTTGAGAGCCTCCAAGATGTTGGGATATATCCTACAACTCAGTTCTGGGAAGAAGGTTTAAAAAATGTATCCATTATGAAATTAATCTTGCCAGGTACAGCTACTCAAAAGAACTGAGAACAGGCAAGCTAGTGAGACCAGGAGATCCAGATCTCCAAAAGCAGTCTTTTTTAGCAAAGCCCAGGCAGCCTCAAGTGGATGCCAGAATGAACAATACATCATTTTTTGAGTAATCAGCTTTTATCACATAAATCCATACTAAAGTTTTTAATGTTTTGCAAGACACTTTCTTACAAGGCAAGATTCAAGAATACATCAGGTCTGATACAGACAGGGTAAACTGCACATTTCTCTTTCTACAGAGGGCGTAACAGACAATATCTGAGAAGAAATCCGATGGAGTGTTTTCTAAGCAATAAAAAGCTTATATCCAGCATTCAAGGACACCCAGCATTCCCATTACCTAGAGATGAATTGTTTTTTCATGACAACTAATGCCATGGAATTGCTATGCTGTACCGTCAGTGCCTTTAGCAAGGAGGAAGATGTAACTTCATGGACATCCTCACCTTTCAGTGCGTCGCCCACGGTTCCACATCAATTCACAAGGAGGTACAGAACAAAAACGGTTTCCAGCCAAGTGGGCTAAAGCTAATCTGGGAGCAGACATTGTAGGAGGTACTTCATGAAAAAAAATATGAACAGGTTGAAATTAGTCTTGTTGCCAGCACGTTGAGAGGGACCAAATCCTGCTGTGTCAAGCAGTCAGGGAATGGCACTGTTGCACTGCAAAGCCTGAGGCTGCCTGACCAGTGCACTGCTGCCAGCCGGGAAAAGTGCCTTCTGTACACAGTTGGGGACAGCCCCTCACAAGAATTCAGACCCCCTCAGGGATGACGTTCAGTGACGGACGCTCTTTTGATTAACATGGACGTGGCCTCAAAGGCAGAGCACACCCATTCTTAGCACGCATTAACCTCCTTGCTCTCGGCGCGAGCACCGACTCCTGATGAACTGTGTCCAATTCCCCCACCCCGCTGTCCAAATGCATCCCCAGGTAGTCCACGTTCAGGCTGTCACCCCAAGTTTCAGTTATCACAAAATGCCAAGTGAGCAGGCTTACGTGCACCATTTCCAGTTTACTCCAATTAATTTTACAAGCGAATGCACTAGGTAGCCGTCAGAGATTACGACCAGATTCATACTGGTTTGGATCAAAGACTAGAGCTGTTAGTGCAAAGCCAAATTGTGTGTTTTCCTTGGCCTGTCAGGAGCCCACACTGCTATCTGGCTTCTCTACCTATACAATTTAAAGCACTTCAGACTAGGTTAAGTAGCAGAGACTAAAGGGGTAGCCTCGCCTCACACATCTGTGCAATGGAAAGGAATGTTACTGTGACCACAACACGCTTCCAGATGAATTCCTTGGGGGAAGAGACTTTTGCTATACAAGCCAAATTCGATGTACTAGCAAAATAGGTACCTAGAAAGATGCCAGAAAGCATGTTTCTTTGTCTCTCTTCAGCTTATAATGTCATCAGATCACGTGGGAAAATAAAATAATGTACTTGTCCATGAGGTAAACAATAACCCAGCAGTTTTTTAATAGCTTAATATTTTAATGCCACATAGCTTTGTTCTTTATGGGGTTTACCTGCCTGGAATGCTTCCTTTAAAACATGCAGGAACACTGCAATACTCCTTGGTTTAAAGTATCTAAAAGCTTTTCAACAGAATTTAATGTTAATCTGCTGATAGGAAACATACACATTTAAGTTGGAGAAGACAGGTCAAGAAAAAAATGTGCATTCCATATGAACTGAGAGGTGACAAGATTAATGACACACTCTTTTGGGGAGGGATATTAATTTTAGTCTTGGACCAGATTCTTGCAAAATTCAATGTGCTGCACAGATATGCATCGCTGTCAACTACCATCCTCCTCCCTTCAGTTTAGGCAGTCTTCAGTCATTCTGGGCCCAGGGCTTTACAGACTTTGAAGCTATGGGTAGAAAACTTGAAGTTAATTAGAAGTTCTAGGGAGCAGATGGGCAGGTTATGATGGCCCGCACAGTCTCTGTGCCTGAAGAGATGCATCACAATGCTGCAATGTCTGACAGTCCAAGTGTAAAACCTTGTGCTGACCAGCTAAGCGGTGATAAATGTGTGAATTAATAATGAAGAAAGAAAAGCAGAGAGCTTAAAACAACTGATACACAATCAATATGAAAATATCCATGTGTGGGTATAAAAGTATACTGCTTCTAAGTCAGACTCAATTTTAGTTCAAAATTTTTCTGTTTAAAAGAGATTAATGGCTGTGTCCCCAAGTACGAGTTAAATGTTTTAAAAAAAACATGTAAATGAGATGCTTTGTATGACAATGTGTTCATTATGGAATCCAGAAGCATATGTTTAATCATTTGGAAATGAGACAACGCACATATTTCCCAACATGAATTCCACTTTAAGAACAAATATAGAACATTCTGTATCGTCATTCCTTTCCTAAAAATAGCTAAAATTAACTTCTAAGTTTAGCCATTGCACAAAACATATTAAATTAGAGGTGTTGAAACTACTTGATAATTCATTAATCTAAATTGAAGCACCCAAGAGCAAAGTCCCTGGTCTAGACGAGTGGGTTGTACAGTAGATATCTGCAACCATTAGCGTTGTTTTCACTCCCAGAATGCTAGCGCACATATCACTATTACAGTACCCTTTTAAGGAGCTCAGGGCATTAAGACAAAAGCTGTTCACTGGGCAACACCTTTTTCAAAACCCACCAAACTGTTCTAGCACATGCACTTTCCTCCAACACCCTACACCACCTTCAGGAAAGGATTCTGCCTCTCTTCTTCTGCAAAGCGTGGCCAAACGCTCAGCTGGATGTCTCAAGTGAAGCAGAACAGTTGTGCTAGGAAGGCAAGTGCAGCATTTCCTTTGGCCTACGGGAAGATGGGTGAGATGAGATAGTCACTGACTCTGTTGACTTTTGCACCTATTTCTCCAGTCTAGTTAGAAAGAACCAGGTTGCCAGTCTTGTACGTCTGCCTGCATCTCTCCTTCACTGTGTGCATGCATGCCTCTGCCATGAGTAAATCAGATTGCCTGCTCTGCAAAAGTCAGCAAGGAACTTCCCAAAAGACTGGGCCGGCTAAGGCTGGACAGATTTTCTGGCTTTTCTTCCAGCATCAGTTATAATATTGGAAAAAGAAAATCCCTCAACTGAAATATATTTTTCTGGATAATGGAGTCCACTGCAATCCCATTCAAGGGCCAGTGTTAAGTGGTGAAATCTTGAATTTTAGACGTGTAAGTGCAAGTCTCAGTAAAAGAGGCAGAGATACAAGCACCCTGGGAGCACAGCAACCAAACTGCTTTTCCTTTTCCTAATACAGTATCTCAATGGGTATTAAGTGGCATCGCCATACAGTAAATGAATGATTGGGACCTCTGTCTACATACTGGACTTGGAACATACCTGGATATACCCGGTGGTTAAATAAAGTTGCAGACTACCAGCTATACCTTATTTTCATAAGTCAGTGACATTTTCCATCTGGTATCAGAGATTGGGATTACTGTGAAAAAACCAGCAAACTCACATGCAAATTTTGAAAGTGTTGTGGAAATACAGAACTATCCCAAACATGAAACAGTATCTCAGTTGCAGTATCTCAGCTTTCAAAGAACACAGATATTTTAAAAACTGTATTTTTATGCTTTATCTGCTTAGCTGGAAAGTAATACTATGACTGTCGTAATTATTAAAAACAAGGGGTAAAAACATATGCACTGACTACAGTGTATAGTCAGATTCACTGCTTATAAAGATAATCAACTTTTTTTGTGAGAGACAGAGACAGGAAAGAAAATAAAAATTAGAAGAAAAGCAGTAATTTGGACTTTGCCAAGTAGAAATATAGAGACCAGAAGAATTTCAAGATAGCTGTACTTCCCAGAGCTAATTAATTCTTCTTTTGAACAGACTGTAAATCCATTTATAATCTGCTATGAAACCGTATTAAATAATATGTTCTGGTTACAATAACTTCAGTTTTTTCGCAATGGAGAATTCTGAAGACAAAATTTGAAGCAAGACAAAAAACAAAATAGACACATTCAAGCTCAGGTATTTAATCAGCACCCAATAAGCTTATGTGTTTATAGTTAAATCTGTCCAACTGTATCAAAGTTTCTCTGGAAATGTTATACTATAGCTATGCATTCATGCAGAATAAAGATCCTTTTTCTTTCACTGTCATGGCAGTTAAGTCTCAATTGAAATTGGTTTTGAGGAGCAGACAACCCTATTAATCCTAGGTATTTTAATCTGGTGACTGATGAAAAGACTCAAGAAAGGAGATGGTTATTAGTCAGTCAAACAATTTTTAACTGAACTCTGGATGCATACTGAGGGAGCAAAACCTTTATGCATCAGAAGACAGTTTTTGTTTATGCCTAGTAAATATTAAAGGTGTTCGCAATACTGCCATTTCCATTTTTTCCCCAGGCAGGTGAAAAAGTAAAGAACACAAGCTGGACCAACCCTTTGTAGAAACTGCTGATGCAGTTTATAGGTTTATACAGCACAGCCCTGTATAAATTTCTTACTGAATGCTACCAACATGAGCAGTCGCTGCCCCGTGCCTAATTACCCATTTTCAGTTTACAACTGAAAGGAAGTTTGTGATAAGAAAAATATCCTTCAGCTACACTATCCGATTTAAGCACACAACGAAAGTTGTGCTGCTGATGTAAGCAGCGCCTTACAGTAACAGTGGGAGATAATCCATCTGTATTCTCCCCCTCCTTTGCCCTGGTTCATCAGCTGCTTCTGAGGTGTTTTCAGTATGCTCAGGACTTCCCCCTTTCCATTTTCAGTCTCATTCAGTCTCATCCAGGCTACATAATATCTTGTCTCTGTGCTAACTAGAGGCCGAAGAAGACATGGCAGCTAGCAAAGACTCCACTCAGAGAAGAAGGTAGGTTACACTGGTATGATTTGGGGAAAACAGCCAGAAGCGAGCAGGAATTTACCTGCTCCTTTCATTGACGAGCTGTATTTGCCATTTGCTAACGGTCTGCAATCCAGTGAAACGTCTAACCCAGTCAGAAGTTCATCCTCTAAGACTGTCTCTTCTTCTGGTCTGCATCTAAGCCATTTCCTTCTGGAAGCGGACCTAACTAAAGTAATCCTTGCCTTTGTCACCTCAATGACACAATTACATTTCAAACCAACTCAGAATAAGCTGATATTACTGCAACAGCAGCACTTAGGTAAGTTTAAGATATCAATTTCTATTTGGAAAGCCATCTTTTCATATGGTGATACAGAGTTTTTTCTGAGTTTTTCATAGATAGAAGAGTGTTACTTTGAAACAGAGGCTTACAGAAACTAATGGAGTGACCACATAGTAATAAAATACATGAAATGCATACATTTCATCAGGAGATTCAGTTAGAAAATAGTTGACAAATCATGCACTTTCATTTAATTAAAGCACTAATACTGATGCTTGTGCACTTACCTAAAAACTCTGAAAAAAACCCCAAAGTTCACAGGAAATATGACAATGCTTTTGTAAATATATCTCTATTTCATACCCGAAATACTGTTTCATCTCCAGCTGTTTTCAAATCATCTTCCTTCCCAATGATTCTCTGTAGCTGTATTTGTTAAAACATGAAAAAAAACACAGGAAAATTACAAATTGGATCTTACAAGAGCCTCCTTTTTCAGAAACTTGCATTAATTTCACCTTTTCTTAATTATAAGGTCATTATGTTTCTGCGAGGTTCTCTAGCCGTGACAAAATATTTGCATACTTGAGGATATTTTGCTATTCAGACACACTTTTTCCCAGGAATGTCTTATCTACTGTGGTTAATATAGCCAAGCAGAGCATATGAATCTATCTCTTGCAGCCCAGTGCTTACCCTATTTTTAGAGCAGATTTTCTTGCACTAAAAGCTCAGCATTCACTCCATAAGATTTTGAAACTCAGGGGTATAACACCAAGGGTCAGTTGGAAAATAAAAATTATCCTGTCATATTCATGCTGTCCTCCTAGACAGCTTTACATAGTTATGCTACAGACATGATTCTCTAGACTTGAAAAACATACCTGTTCAAATCAGGTAGTACACAACTAACAACAAAGAATAATTTAATTAAATAAGCAAATGTATTTTCAGAACTAGCTTTCAGGAGAATGTGGTTTGAGTTTCCCCTCCACCCTACAAATAAAAGAACCTTGCATGTGTTAGCTAAGATGATTTTTAGAAGTACTGAAATGAGTCACATTTAAAAACACAACTTCCACTGTCCCACACAGAGCTTGAAGGTAATATCGAAAGTGCATTAATTTGCAGGACCTCAAGTATATCTCAGCCGCAAGGTTTCTTCGACTGTATTTTAGCCTGGGAGGTCAACACTGCCACAAGAATGAGTGATTTAACATAGCACACGGTATACCTACCTTTCACAGACATTTGCGTGAATCCTCAAAAGGACAGCAAGAATGAAAGAACAAGGGACTTATTATCTTTCAGGTATAGATATGGACTTAACACCGAACACTCTGGATTTGGAGACTTTAGGAAAGCAGCTTTTAAAGCTCAGGGTTTTCAAAGCTGCTGCTTTGCTTCTCAAACATTTCTCAGTGATTCCTCACCCTGCCCATTCAAACTGGGGAAAAAAATCCATGACCAAATTTGCACAGCCGTTATTTTGTGGGGTTTTCAAACCACTTCTTAGGGCTTTATTTTTTCACTTTTTTTGTTATGTTGTTCAGAGAAGCAATAGGGGCTTGTAAGCAGTGAGCAGGAAAAAACTGCTGTTTGTGTTGCCAAAGGCCTTCCCTTGGCTTTCAAATTTTGACTAATTCACCTGGTTTTTATGGCCTCATTTTTGAGCTCCTCAGGATAGTTATTTCCTATTATTATTTTTAAATGGCATGCATTGATAGTATTTATCAAAATAAATACTGCAACAAGACAATTATATGGTACCAGTCCTTCCAAGTTTCTCCAACTCTTTTAATTTTTGATCATTTACAAAACAATTGACTAGTACAGTAAAAGCATTATGAAGTTCTTCATGGCAAAATAGCAATATAGAGCTCTGGATAAAAACACAACTGCTCGTCCATATTCTCACTGAAAAAGTGCATTTTTTTCTTACCTGAAAAATCCACCTTCTGCTCACACACAAGAAATACAACCATAAATACTTTCCAAACAAGAGAAAAGAAGAGTTTTTCTTTTGGATTTTATTTTTAAATGACTCTTAAAAAAGTCTGCAGAGACTACTAAAGAACACAGACACACAGTGTAATTTTTTTTTCACATGTGTTCTGGAAGATTTAGTTGATTGTTTTCTTACACTGTATGTAAATCCTTATAGTGCTTGAAACTGTTTCCAGTAGTTCACGGATTTTTTCCAGCACAGTGCAGCAATTACTCACAGAGGGAGAAGAATTCTGCCCTTGAGAAATGGACTCTAATATTCAACTGCTCCATGTAACATTTATCTGTATTTAATATTTATCTGTTCATCACTGGAAGATAATAATGGCTAATTCAAAGATAATGAGACCTATTACGCAGAACTGATGCCTCTTTACTGAAGACATACCAAGAAGTAATCTTTTCTGAAGAAGACAAGAGGTGGCAGAAAGGCTATGTCAGTCTTAAAAAAAATAAAGGTGATTTTGCATCTTCTGTTGTTTAAGAGAAGTTACTGCTTGTGGATGTTCTCGGACTGCAGAGGTGTCCTGTACCAAACCACCACAACTGCTGACAGTGTTGGCTGCTGGTTCCTTCCTAGGAAGGAACTATCCTTCCCAGATAAACCTCTACAAGTTTTTTTTGTGGTATCTACTGTCCAGGACAAGTGTATAAAGATAGTCTATTTAGACAGTCTAAATCACATAGCTCTTGCATGTGCCATCACAGTTACCCTACCTCCATTCCAATAGTTTCAACTGTCACTGATTCTACTTAGAAATCTTTCATCAGGACAGAGTTAGGGAAATTCCTCACTTGCTGGGGATTTCGGGATCTTTGGTAGCCTTATTCTTAATGGGAGGTCTCAGATTAATGTGCATGGGTTATTATGTGCACATGTCTGGAAACCCCCCTCACCAAGTCTCATGTCTTGGAACTGCGGAGTACACAGAAGTATCTTACTGTCCTGACAAAGATGCAGATAATATGGCTCTGAGAAACAATTCTTTGCCCTCTGGCAGGGGCTGATTAAAGGATGGCAACTAACATCTATGAATATGCCATTTCTACTACATCTTCTTCACCCTAGAGTTGCAGGGCAAAGCAACAAATCCATGCAGGTGTCTACCTCAAAATACAGATTGCTGTGATTCTGGGCCCCAATACTGAAATGTCTCTTGTATTGTGAATGTTTACCACTGAAACATGGATGAAGCAGAAATTAAAAACAGACTGACTTGAATATAAAGAAATAGGGAGGAGAGAGAACAAAGAATCTTGTTCTTGGGAAGGGACTGACTTTTAACTCCTACCAGAAAGGAGGAAAATGTGCACAGAAATGGAAAAGGTACGGAGCACAAGATAAACTCTCTCCTTCAAAACATGGAATTGAATGCAAGAACTCCTTTCCTAAACATTCATTCATATATATTAGCAAAGAGCACTGAAGCTACGGGGAAATCCTGGATCTCACCCTCCTTCAGTGTCTGATCCTATGCCCCCTCCCAGCTTCTTGTGCACCTCGCCACTGGCAGAGCATGGGAAGATGAAAAGTCTTTGACCTCCTATAAGCACTACTTAGGAACTACTAAAAACATCAGTGTGTTATCAACATTATTCTCATACTAAATCCAAAAAACAGCACTACAGCAGCTATTAGGAAGAAAACTAGCTCTACCTCAGCCGAAACCTGAGTTTCAGTCATCAGGGTACTGCTACTCTGATAAAAATCCACTAGAATTGTACCTGGTTTAGTAGGTTAAAAATAAAGGCTTTTGTTAGAATTTGATTTTTTTTTTAAATCAGCAGAATAATTAAATTTTAACAGATAAAATTCTTCAAGCTTAAAAGATTTTCCTCATTTACAAATGAGGGCAGGGTATCTGCAGGCTCAGTTAGGGGCTTCTGGGAACATTGTCTTGGGAAATGGTCTGATTTCAAGTATTATTTTCAAATAGTACTACTAAGTCAAAAAGTATTTAAAAAATATTTTAAAATATATTTAAGTACAACTCACCAATTGTAATCTTGCTAAGAGAATTCACTGAAAAAATGGCTATCAGTGCAAAGCACAAGCTAACAGCTATAGTATCATTAATTCAGAGTTTAAAGCTATGAAAGTACATGTAAATAGATTTTTGGTAACTTCTCTATCAACAGGTGCATCTTTAAGTTTTAGATTCTTACCTAAAGTCTTACATTCTTAGTTTTGGTTCTCTAGAGTTGTTGCATTAATGATCATCTTTAACTTTATCCTAGTGACAGGAAATAATTTGCTTTGTAATAGCCATTTCAGTTTCTTGTAAAACGGTCTCTCTAGTTACCTCCAATGTGAATGAAGGATCTGAATTAGGCTGAGGGAGTCTATTAAAAACTATGTTTGTTAACTTTACATTTGAGTTTTGACAACAAGTATTTAGTTACCAGCCTCCTGTTAGATACTTAAAAGTTGAATAAGCTATATAATGAAGCCTATTCTTCTTTAAAACATCAGAGCAAGATTTTCTTCATTTTTAAAGCATCTGCCTGTCTCCCCCATATTTTATACAAAACATGGGAAAAACTGCTGTTACTCTCCAAAGTGTGAATTGCTAAAAACTCTGTGTAATAGCAAACAAAACTAATAAAAAAAAAGAGAGGATGGCAAATTTTAAAAATTATTCAAAATATTTAGAAAATAAAAGACTTTTCCTGATGATTATTTAAATTAGTTCATGGGATTAAGGGATGTACACCAACTACCTTCCCAGTAACAGATTTTTAGACACAAGTCAAAGGTGACATTTATAAAAGTGGATTCAGATTTAAGAAATACTTCTATAGCAATGCTTTGGTATATGCTCCTTTCATATAAAGTATTTTAGTAAGTATGTGATCATAGATTGGACTGAAAAACAGGCTTGGAGATTTAATGAATCTTCGTTTAGCAAATATAACCCATGGAACTATTTAAATGCTTTGGAATTAATATGCATATAAACACACAATACCTTAAAAAATTCCTTCTTTTCAACTTGCTCGTTGCCATCTGTATCCAACATTTTAAAGGCAATTTGAAATCCAGTCTGGGGTTCTGCAACAAATTGCGAAAGAACTTTATTGTAAACACACACACACACACGTACTTAATTATTTAATGCAAAAGGAATACTGCCCATGGTTCAATTCTCCATTGTTATGCATGTACATGATATTTCCAGTAAACCATATGTAATTCCTCCAATATAAGCAAACTTTTTAAACACCTTTTTACTACCATTTCAAGGGATAGTTAATGCAATGGCAAAGCACGAAATGCCAGCAGTGCCTAAGTACAGCCATGAATGTCCATCTGATCCCAATGATTGTGAAAATTTTGTATGTCTTACTGTCCTGGTCTTAGATATTCTCTATAACTGTCTCCATAATCCCATGTCACTTCTGAAGTCTAGCTCTGCCTCGTTTATTAGAGCTCTTTTTCAGGTGAGAAGACTGGAAAGTGCCTTGAGAAACCAGTAATTACTCCCAAATGGCATGAAAGAGCTAGTGTACTCCTCAGGTACTCCTTGCACGCATTACTGTATGCCAGGATTTGGAGTCTTCCCTGGTCTTCCCTAGCAAACAGACTGATCTTGTAATCGCGGCCACCTCGCTCGGCTCCTGCTCCCGCTGTGTTAGCCCCAGGCCTTTTTTTCCTTCCCTTCTCCTCCCTCTCTAAACAATGTACTCAAATGTTACCGAGAAGTAATATGCCACTCTTTCTGGCCTTTTTGGACAAAAGCACATTTTGTATGACTGCCATCAAGCTGATTTTTTCAGGAATTTTGAACAATTTTACCCTGCATTTCCTTCACCGAGTGGATGTTTCTTTTCAACACAAAAAATGTAATGAGTTCTGAGTCTTGCAGGCGCTATAAAAACACAGTGTGTTTTGAGCTCCTTCCCACAATTTCCTGATCTTACTTTGCTTACAGGAGGTGGCCTCGCTCATTAGCAAGCCCACACAGGAGCAGCGCGCTGCTGAAATGTAGTTACAGTTCACTGCAGTAGCAAGAACTTATTCCAGTGATTTTTGGAGCAGGTGAATTAATTCCACAACCCAGTCAAGTCAGGCATTAATATGAAAGCCACTGACTTAACGTCTCTAGAATATATTCATGTTTCCAAGAACAATGTTGGACTCATGAGGGCAGTGAAGCAGTATCTCTAAAAAACTCCAATGCCTTCAAAGTTTTTCTTTTGGAAATATATTCTTCCAGCTCCATCCTGTAAAGTTTTAAGTCTTGCTTTATATTTAGAGGATCTTTCTGCAAAGGGAACAAATTAAAGAAATATCCCATTCTTTTTAAGTCATAACAAGACGGTTAAAGACAGTACTATTTTTACATTTTAGTAATAACTACATCTTCAGCAGCCAACTAATGTTCTCTGTGGAGCAACCTGGTGATGCAGGGATATTTTATAAATACTGTTTCAACTGCATAGCAGAGGCCCTCCCCAGCAACTGGGTTGTAATAATCAAAACTGGGTTCCTTTCCATGGAAATGCCACACACTAAATTTGCATTACTAGTACAAAAGCAAGAAAAGCCTATCCTATAACATATTTAGAGAATAAAAGTAATTGATGTATTTAATAGTAATTCATACCATCTGTGTTGCAATTTTCAGATAAGAGAGCTGTTACTGAAAATATAGGACCTAAAGCTGCTTATACTGTTCAGAGATGACATACTTATCTGATATGATGTAACCCCAAAGGTATGTGTTCGTAAAATAAGCATAGTTCAAAGACTACCTCAGATAGATTTGTATTTAATTAGAATCAGGCAAAATTCCAAAATCTGAACAGAAGAGCTTCATCTTAGTTGTGAGTGCAGGTAGACTTAGGTGCTTCCCCTGCAACCATTCCTACATTGACCAAGCTGTGTGACTGGCTAATGGAAACGAAGCTTTGAGTCAAGGTGACAATTTCAGTTCCTGGGCTCCTTCACCAGAAGCTCCATTAACCAGTTGCTGGAAATGAAATTCAGTACAGCACTGGAAAAAAAAAAGATAACAATGATACAAGGCATAGAGAAAAGAGAAAAGGAGATCACAGGGGGCAAAATAAAGCCTTTGTCTGCCAGAGAATTACATTTTCAAGTTCAGTGTTGTTACAGATGGTGCTTTTGTATGACGGGCAGCTGGGACTCTGGAAACATGGTCACGCTTTCCCTGTTTCCCTATTGCTCTGTTGGTGACTTAGAAGAAGATATTTAAATATTAATGGCTGCTTTAAGAAATTTCACATTAATTCTCACTAGTGAGAGAGACAGGTTGTGTAACTGGGGGCTGACTGACATGGGATACTTGTTAGGCAAAGATAGAGGCACTAACACTTGTTGAGATTTGCTTTCAAACTGATCGGTATGGTAACCCTCTGTGCAACCAAAGCAGCGATGTTAGCACTGCATTTTTATCCTGCATCAAAAGGTGCCTTTGTTTTTGCAGTTCAATACATTCCTATATAAATTCTGTAAAAAATAATGTTACTTGATTATCTGGAGAAGTGGAACAACTTGCTCTGATACTGCCTCAATTTTCTAATTGTTTCAGCCAATAAATCAGCATGAATTTACTTTCAGCTGCCACAGATTTTTAAGGAAATAGAATCTTTGGCACATATTTCTGCAACTTTAAGCAAGCTATTCTTCTGAAGTTATAATGTGGTCGTGCTTTTAAAAAAAAAAACCCTCTTCTTTGAGTTGCCATAAATATTTTTAAATTGGCTTTCTGACTGGGCTAGACTCTTATTTCTGATTTTAAAAAGCACTTGAACTCATGTTCAATCTTGTGTGTAGCACTGGACAGTCACTACTGGTGAAACAAACATTTGTATGGTAAATAGGTTATATTAATATGCATATACTATGTAATATTGTGTACTAGTTGAAGTTCCTAGTAGAAACCAATGCAGTTCTGCTGAGAAATGACGTAAGCTGTAAAAGGCCTACCTAAACTGTGTGAGAGGTGTCTATCGACAGACATTGTCTGTGAAGACTGGACTCTGGAGACCAACACTACTTGTTCTTACTACACCGTGATGGAGTGTATTTCTAGAGGAAGGAAAATTTGTCAATGTGTTTAAGCCCTTGCTATGGACCTCGCAGCCATGGAAGTGATGAGGCTCAAGCATCTACAATCTATTGGGATAAGAATGACTGATTCCTTCTCACCTTTCCCCATCCACTGATACCATGAGATCTACTATGCCTGGTTTTGTCCCTTGCTTAAAATGTTAGACCTGTACAAGTCAGTCAGGCAAGACTGCATGTGGACTATTACATGGACACGCATGTGAATTACTTCACTACTGGTCTATGGGTCTAACTGCGTAATCCTCATCGCACACATCTTATCTCAAATCTCGGTATCTTCCAGCATCACCTACACTTCATCAGAACTGCACAGGGAGGTGGCAAGCATGGCATAGCGTAAGTATGGGTGAGGAAACCAAGAAAATCCAAGATCACTTCCAAGGCACAATCAAAAAATGCCTGCTGTTTGCAGATAATGCAAGTACAAAACAAAAAAGTTTTTAAAAAGACTGTCTGATAGAGAAAAACAAAGGAAGCAAAGGAGAGGGCAGAAATACATGAAAAATACTTGGAAGAAATAAAGTCAAAAGGAACAGAAAAAAAAAAAAGGATTAAAAAGTCAAACAAAAAGACACTGCAGAAGTCTGCTATCTGAACACATGAATAACAGGCAACAACCTTTCAGACACAACAGCTTTTTACACCACTGCATGAGCAATGACGTTAACATCTCATTGTCCAAAATGACTAAAACTACTACCCAGAAGACAAATTATTTATCTTCCCCCACTGTTCTTCTTCCCCTTATTATGTGGTCCTGTAACCAATATCTCTCCTCTCTCAAAGCCTCTTGAAAGACTTTACTGATCTCATGGTGCAGGGATTATCATGATTTTTGAAGTACTGCTATGGACCAGTGATAACACTATGGAAGTAAGTTGCAATCAATTAAAGTTATATCCATTTATACTAATGCCTTATCACTCTATATACAGCAGTTCTTTATGTTTTATTATAACGTAGAAATTTAGAAGTTAAAAAATATCAGAAAAAGTTCCTGGAAAGCTGTTAGTAGCTGAGTATTTATGCATATGTATTTTAAAAATATAATACTTACTCGTAAGGATTGTCAGCAAAAATAGGTACTCTGCATAAGATATCAACCCTGAAATAAAAGAGTTAAAAAATGACTTGCAAAGAAAAATTACTTATAGCAAGACTTGAAAGATCAAATCTTATAAATATAAAAAATGTAGTTTAACATTGTATTAAATAGGTTATTAAAGTAAGCCACATTACTATTTAATAAAGTTTTTACTTCTGTTTTTAGTGCTCTGACGGTAAAATTCCCTATCCAGAGACTCATCAATGTTCATGTCTAATCAAGAAAGTAAGGTTTATTTGGTATTAATAAAAGGCCTACCCTAAATCTTTGGATTCTCACTGAAAACATTCAATGTTTATTTAAAAGGCAAATAAATTAAATGCGCTTTGTCACATTTAGTACCTGGGAGGAGAACTACTCTAACGTTACCCTGAAGGATCAAAGTCCTCCATCCCTTGGCAGGCTTGTGAAGGCGGAGAATAGCTTCCTTCTAATTCTCAAGGGGAACATGGCAACACGCAAAGCTGCCAAGCTTCTAGATTGTGCTGATAGCACTGCTGGGCAGCATGCCAAGAGGAGGCTGCTTTTTTTTTTTTTTTTTTAAATAGGAACATGTCCTTTCTACAAGGTGAAAGTATTTTCCCCCCTTTTGAAGGAAAATTCCAGTGTTTTCCTTTGAAATACCGCTTTAAGTGAAAAGCCTGAACAAACACAAAGATGTGATAGCGTCAAAATAGAGCGTATGAGCTAAAGATAGTGCATAACCAGGGTGGTTAAACGACAGAATCTGAACCATCTGCCCTGCAATAATGTTTGGGGGGGGGAAAAAAAGTAAAGGGCTTTTTTATAAATCACTTTTCAAAATAACTGGGCTACTTTTAACTTGTGAGCTAAATATTGTATAATGCTGAAGTTGCTCCAAAAAATGAAGTTCAAACATGCCTATCTGTGCAAAGATAAACTATTTTTTGTAATTTATATTTAGTTAATTGATAGATAAGGAATCTACTTAAGCTTCAGAGATAAACAATTAACTTCTGATAAATTACTATGCAGAGCTAACAGCATTTGTATTTGACCTCAGAGAGTGACTTAACAATTTAAGTTTTAAGTACCAGAGTTTAGAAATATTAAATTGCTGAATGCAAGAGTTTGAAAATCTGAGAACAAGTCTTAGCTAAAGACAGGTCTAATGCTGATCTTGTTGCCAACTCACTCTGGTTCCATATCTCAGCTTTCCTCTCCATCAAAATAGGGCTAGTAATCCTATTACCCTGCATGCATCATGTGTAAGTCAGCACAAGTACTACAGTCATACAATAAACTGTGGAAATAAAAAATACTTTAAACTCAAAGATTTAGTTTTGCTTACAAGTTTTAGGGTTACTGCCATTGCAAGAATGTAAATTATTATTTGCATTGCTGTAAAACTTGGAATTGTGTTCCTAGACAACACGTCCAGGATTTCTACAAATTTGAAACCAAACAGAGAAAGAACTCCTACCCCATTATTTTAGCTTATATGTATAAGTATAAGACAAGATAAAAAAATGGATAGAAACAAATAGGGAAGGAAAAGAAATTAAGAAAATAGTGTGACAGGCAGTGATCAGGATTCCTGCTCCCTAATTTTGTGTGTGTCACAGAAAGAGGGTGGTTAAAGGAAGAATATAAAGTAAGACAAGGAGGTAACTTTTCAACTCTGTATAAAATACACCTCCCAACTGTAGACTGCAACGGTATCAGCACAAAGACCCCTGCCTGAAAATTTAATCAGGAAGTGATGAAGGCCAGCATCACTGGCAAGGAGAAGTGGGAGTCTGCCTCTCGGCTGTCTGGAGATGCGCTGCACAGGGATAGTCTAGGGAAGAGCTGGAAGGTGAAGACAAGCAGCTTATGCCAGATAGAACAAGGAGAGCCCAGTGCTGGGATTCAAAAGAAGAGATGACACACTCAAAGGAGCGATGTAAGAAAAACATCTTTATCAAAGCATTTTAAAGGATATTTTACTCTGGAGAAACGGAGGCTGAGTGGAGACCTTATTGCTCTCTGCAACTACTTGAAATGAGATTGTAGTGAGGTAGGTGTTGGTCTTTTTTTCCCCAGTACCAAGTGATAGGACATGAGGAGATGGCCTCAAGTTGTGCCAGGGGAGGTTTAGATTTGATGTTAGGAGAAATTTCTTCACCAAAAGAGTTGTCAAGCATTGGAACAGGCTGCCCAGGGAAGTGGTTGAGTCACCATCCCTGCAGGTATTTAAAAGACGTGTAGATGTGGTGCTTAGGGACATGGTTTAGTGGTGGAGTTGGCAGTGTTAGGTTTACGGTTGGACTTGATCATCTTAAAGGTCTTTTCCAGCTTAAACGATTCTATGGTTCTATGATATCAACCTGGAAGATTATTTTGTTAAAGTCAGAGAAAAAAAGAGTCATAATAATTGAGATACAAAATGCTGAGGACCTGGAGAGTTTTAGCTATATGGGTAGACATGGAACATTGTACTTTATAAAATTTTGCAGAAAGAATCTGCAAAATCTATATGGAGATGGTAGGATGTAGAGAAAAGACCAATTTAAAGACAACACTCTGCTTATTGGCTCAAGGGAGACTCCTGATGGCTCTATGCACTAAAATTGCAGAGGGCTGGAAAGGAGAGCCTTGCGAGAAATGGGAGAGAAGAGACACAGACTCTGTTTTCATCATCTTATCATAAGCTGATTGAAAAGTCACTATAGTGAAATAAGTAAAAAGGTAAATATAATAAAAATATGTAAAATTTTCTTGACTGTTCTTTAAAAGCTGTCTCAGTGCCTTAAAGCAAAGCCACAGCCTGTAGGACATTTTCAGGCAGACTGATTATACTAAAATAATTTGAGATAAGATTTTTTTTAACTTGTGGACTCATTTCCATAAAAATTCTTCTTTTAATTTTATTATCCTTTTACTAACTGTAGTGAATGACCTTTATTTACCATAAAGTACATTAAATATTTTGGCAATCTTTTTTTTCTGCAGTAATCATTATGAAGTTACTCAAAGTAAAAGATGCAATGCAAGAAATTTAAAAGAATAATAATCATAGAACATTATATTCATGTCCAAGCAAAATTTAAAAGATAAAAGCTTCACATACTGCTGAATGACTCAGCATACTTGCAGCCAAGTGTTTGCAGTTAGCATTGGCAAAATACTGTCATTTTCTAACATTAAATGAACCTTCCCTAGTCCTCCCTGGAAATCTCTACCTTCAAACTTTATAGCAAATGCTGACAGTACAATATTCTTGTTGCTGAATAAATCATAAGTATACCCACAAAAAGACATGAATTTAAAAACTGCCCACTAGAAGGCAGAATTCCCTAGCGTTATGTTTTACAAACCAGACTGATGACAGTTTTCTCTCTACTTGATATTTAAATAACAATTTGAAGGTAGTTAGAATAATCTCAGCTAAACAGTGGAAGAAGTGTAGATTCGTTATTCTGGTACTTGTAAAAGCAGCTTTTAATACATAAATATTTACGTTTTAAAAATATAATACTAATGCATCTCAAAGCAAAAGCATCAAAGTCACTAAAGAGGCATCATGACCAAAACCTGTAAAAACCCCATGTGTTGTGGAGGCCTATGGATGACTGCACTGAATGTTCCTGCACCACCTCAAACTCCTACCTGACCTTTGAAGGACAGAGTATACAGACCCAGTCCTAAGCACGGGGAGATCAATGCCTTGTCCAGAATGCAAAAGATGCCAGGCTGAGCATATCATCAAGCCCACTTTCTGCCAAGCAGTCAGCTGGGAGAGGCGCAGTAAAAGGAAGCTGTGCTGATGTGCTATGTTTTCACTTTCTGTTGGTGGATTCCCAGCTTTCCCAGGCAGAGTGCTCTGGGGACTTGAGGTGTCAATCACTAAAAAAAGAAAGGCACTAGGAAAGCAGGGATAGAGAAAAAAAAATAGCCAAGAATTAAAGACTGGGAATCCTTTAAACCCAGTCCTGGGAAGGCACATGATGATTGGTAATTTGAAGAGGCTGGGAATGGCTATTCCATACAAAATCCAGCCTTCTCTGGGATAGGAAAAAATTGTTCAACTTGTTCAGAGATCTTTCAGGGCTGCTGGGGTATGCTGGGGCTTGCAGGAGTGGACTGACAAGCAAGGCACCCAGCTGAAGACCCCTCCACATCTGCACAAGGATGGAAGAAATGAACTGCATGCGGACTATGCCATGAGGCCAAAGGGCAGGCAAAATGCTGCAGGCTGAGCTTGAGGTCTGCTCTCTTGCACAAGCTGCCAGACATGCCCGGGGATCTGCTGCGCATGGAGAGAGAGTGGCTCATGCCTGCCAAGGAATTGCAGCAGTGCAAAGGCTGCTTTATTTTCCAGAAACATCCATGGGATAAAGGATTCAGGCCGAACTCAGTGATACAGAAGGTTTCTGAATAGACACTGTTGGTCTTTCTCATTAGTTTGGGGATTTCAGTCTTTGTTACTGGTGAAATGGTTAATTACTCATCTCTTTGGTTTCCTTGATCCTCGTTTGTTGTCTCCTTTCAATTAATTTATGCTAATGATGTATTTATTTGTTGTTCTTTAATTCCCTGTTGTTATACAAACAATATCCCAGCTCTCAGAATTTTCTCTTTATGTAGCCAGATATAAGGTGGAAATGCTGGGTGAAAAGAAACTGAAGCACATTGGTGCTGTGAAGGGTCACCGAGCTCCTGAAGAGGGGGAAATAAGTTCAGTTGCTCTTGGAATCAGGGATGTCACTTTACATAATTATTTTTATTCTTAGTTTCCATGCATTTAAGTTATATAGTGAAACAGCAGCTTATTAACAAGTAGTTTTAAAAGTCCATTTTATACTCAAGTTTAGCTCCTTTCTCTTCTCCAAATAGGCCTTCTGATTTCTTTCACATCTCCTCCTGCACCTCAGAAGGCTTTCAACTCCCAGCCCTGCCTCTTTACTTTCTCTTGCATAGCTGAGAGATTTGCCAAGGAGGCAGCTACTGGCTAGAGGGGGATGAAGTCAAATCCATGAAACCTTTAAAAATACATTCAATTCATACCATAAAATGAGATAAAAAGAAAGATGTACTTTTCGATATCAAAAGTGCTTGTTACCTTTATCACCAAGCTCTCTAAAAAAGGTTGGTCCTGGTTTAGCTTTGGCAACACATAGCAGTGCAGCATCTACCTCCTTTAAAGAGACAAACAAGAAAATATAAAGCCAGTTTTGAAAGAAAAGTCTATTCAGTTGGGTAACAAAGAATGAAAGTTTTTTGAAGAACGAAAGGAACTTTTCGCTTACCTTTTTTGTGAGTTTCTTGGCTAAGGCTTTACCTATAATAAAAAAAACATCATCATTCAATAACAAACTGACTTTAAACTTTGATCAGGTTCTGTGGCATTTCTTCAGAGTTTTAAGGGAAAATGCTAAGTAATATGAAACAGAATATTTTGCAGCAGGCAGTTTGTTTCTAATTCCCACAACGATCAAGAAAGGACAACATTTAAAATAATATGAGCAGTCTGTTCAAATGTTCTTGCAACCTAGATGAAACCATAGACCACTTCGGTGCCTATGACTGACTTACTAGTGTGATTTTTGCATACTGTGAACTACAAATGTAGTACAGAGTCTTATACAGCAAGAAACAACTATACTATTTAAAAAGGGATTTGCATGGACACATAATAATCCTTCAAGTGCATGTTGAGTATGCAAAAGCTAACAAATACTAAAAAGGAGAAAAAAGAATGAAAATCAAAGAATCATAGAATCATTAAGGTTGGAAAAGACCTCTAAGATCATCAAGTCCAACCATAAACCTAACGCTGCCAAGACACTAAACCATGTCCCTAAGCACCACGTCTACATGTCTTTTAAATACCTCCAGGGATGGTGACTCAACCACTTCCCTAGGCAGCCTGTTCCAAAGCTTGACAACCCTTTTGGTGAAGTAAGTTTTCCTAATATTGAATCGAAACCTCCCCTGGTGCAACTTGAGGCCGCTTCCTCTTGTCCTATCACTTGCTACTGGGGAGAAGACACCAACACCCACCTTGCTACAACCTCCTGTCAGGCAGCTGCAGAGAGCAGTAAGGTCTCCCCTCAGCCTCCTTTTCTCCAGACTAAACAACCCCAGTTCCCTCAGCCGCTCCTTGTAAGGCTCGTTCTCCAGACCCCTCAGCAGCTTCGCTGTCTTTCTCTGGACATGCTCCAGCACTTCAATGCCCTTCTTGGAGTGAGGGGCCCAAAACTGAACACAGTATTCGAGGTGCGACCTCACCAGTGCCGAGTACAGGGGCACAATCACTTCCCTACTCCTGCTGGCCACACTATTTCTAATACAGGCCAGGACGCTGTTGGTCTTCTTGGCCACCTGGGCACACTGCCGACTCATATTCAGCCGGCTGTCGACCAACATCCCCCAGGTCCTTTTCCACCAGGCAGCTCTCCAGATACTCTTCCCCAAGCCTGTCGCATTGCATGGGGTCGTTGTGATCCAAGTGCAGGAACTGGCACTTGGCCTTGTTGAACCTCATACAGTTGGACTCAGCCCATCGATCCAGCCTGTCCAGATCCCTCTGTAGAGCCTTCCTGCCCTCCAGCAGATCAACACTGCTGCCCAACTTAGTGTCATGTACAAACTTACTGAGGGTGCAGTCGATCCCCTCATCCAGATCATCGATGAAGATATTAATGAGAACTGGCCCCACTACTGAGCCCTGTGGAACACCACTTGTGACTGGCCGCGAACTGGATTTAACTTCATTCACCACAACACTTTGCACCTGTCCATCCAGCCAGATTTTTACCCAGTGAAGTTGTACACCCATCCAAGCCATGAGTAGCCAGTTTCTCCAGGAGAATGCTGTGGGAAACACTGTCAAAAGCTTTACCAAAGTCCAGGCAGACAACATCCACAGCCTTTCCCTCATCCACTAAGCGGGTCACCTGGTCATAGAAGGAGATCACGTTGGTCAAGCAGGACCTGCCTTTCATAAACCTATGGTGAATAGGCCTGATCAACTGGTTGTCCTGTATGTGCCACAGGATGGCACTCAAGACAAACCTGCTCCATAACCTTTCCCCACACCCAGGTCAGGCTGACAGACCTATAGTTCCCTGGATCCTCCTTCTGGCCCTTCTTGTAGATGGGCGTCACATTTTATAACTTCCAGTCAATTGAGACCTTGCTGATTAGCCAGAACTGGTGAGCACTTCCGCCAGCTCCCTCAATACTCTCGGATGGATCCCATCCAGCCCCATAGACTTGTGTGTGTCTAAGTGGTGTAGCATGTCACTACTCATTTCCCCTTGGATTATGGGGGCTTCATTCTGCTCTCCATTCCTGTCTTCCAGCTCAGGGGGCTGGGTACCTGGAGGACAACTGGTCTTACTATTAAAGACTGACGCAAAGGCGGCTTTAAGTATCTCAGCCTTTTCCTCATCCTTTGTCACTATGTTTCCCCCTGCATCCAATAAAGGATGGAGATTCTCCTTAGCCCTCCTTTTGTTGTCACTGCATTTGTAGAAACATTTTTTATTGTCTTTTACAGCAGTAGCCAGATTTAGTTCTAGTTGGGCTTTGGCCCCTCTACTTTTCTCCCTGCATAACCTCACGACATCCTTGTAGACCTCCTGAGTTGCCTGCCCTTTCTTCCAAAGGTCCTAAAGTCTCTTTTTCACCCCGAGTTCCAGTCAAAGCTCTCTGTTCAGCCAGGCCGGTGGTCTTGCCTACCAGCTTGTCTTTCAGCACATGGGGACAGCCTGCTCCTGCTCCTTTAAGATTTCCTTCTTGAAGAATGTCCAGCCTTCCTGGACTCCTTTGCTCTTCAGGACTGCCTCCCAAGCGACTCCTCCCAAGGGACTCGCAAGGGACAAACATCAAAAATATTGATGTTTCTATTAAGCAGAAGTAAACTGAACAACTCTGCCTCCTGAAACAGCATCAGATGAAACCATGCAAACTCCTGTTTTATTAGCAGGTTCAAATCTGTGCGCTCCAACAGGGGAGCCACTGGCAGCAGTACAGGTTGTATTCGCCTGTAAACCACCCATTCGAGGAGCTGTCATGTATTATCGGTGGAATGTTTCAGCTGGTGAGGCAGGGACCACAGAAATCCTGTGGTTGTGGACTGGCAGGAGCTGTGCTCCATCCCTTCTCAGTCTTATCTACCCTGTCACACCAGTCTGTCTCCTCGGCACTTTTCCTCGTAAAGTTCGTAAAACCCTGTGTCCTTCACTCTTACCACTCTCAGCCCATTGCTCCCTTCCTTCACCACCAGTTCCTCTGGATACCAGCCAGCCATTACCTTCTATTTATTCACACTCTGTAAGCGCAGGCCAAGCTGCTCGTGTTTGCTCTGAGGAGCGGTGCCGCTGTGCACAGCAGCCTGCTTTGCTCCATGCTCAGGCTACACGGCTTACTCTGCTGCACCACGGGCATCTTGCATCCAAAGGGTCACCAGCGCTGCACTGCTCTTTGGAAACGGACATGATGGAGGCAGCCTGGTGGGCAGCCGTCAACAAACTTCTACCAAGCATTTTCACAGGCCCATAATTTAGCCAGATGGAGGTCCATTTGCAGTAAAACAGTGAATTTCCATAATGCTGGCAAAAGACATGCCCAGTTGCAGGGGGGCTCCACTGGCAACTTTTGGCTTCGGACGAGAGAAGCTGCTGGAACATCTCAACCAGCAATAGCTCATTTTTCAGCACAGGCAAACCAGTGCCCTGGCCTGGGCTTCTGAACTGGCAGTAACAGTTTTGCTGATAAATTCCTCTCCCTGCCCCCCTCCCCCAAATCAGCCTAAGGCAGACACCTGGCACATAACATTGCAACCCAAATGTTTAAGTTTGACAAAAGTTATAAGCAACTAAAATTAGGGTTTTAATATCGGAGTGTTGAGTGACCCCAGCGACAGGTGTTGCCAGCACCACCTGTTAGTGTGGATGAATACATTTTTGTGCAGTGCACGTACATATGTTTACACACATATATAAAGCTACACAGCTAGATACCTTCTAGCTCAAAGGAAGTGTGAAATCCTCTACTTTGCCTCTTTCGAGATAAAGGAAGTCAGACTAATAACAGTCTGGGAGATCAAGTTTAAAATGCTTATATCCAGCAAGGCTGAGTCCTGAGCAGTGCTATGTAACACCACAGTTCAACACTGCTGACTGCTGCAGAGCATTTCAATGAATGGTTATTTAGCAAATTAAGTGATTCAGGTATCAGTTTTGAAGTGTCACCTCCTCTGCACAGTGCATTTCAATGTGGCATTAAACTACAGCAGCTCTTTCGGCTCTGGGCGACCCACACGGCAAGAAGCCTTACCAGAGGGAATGAGTCAGGCTGTAGGTCTGCAAAAAACAATGTCTGAAAGAATAAAAGGGAAAACCACCCTGCAGTGATTTTCACTGTAAAGGGTCAACATAGTTGCCTGTTTCAAAGCCAGCCATGCACTCTTATTTGGTTAACAGCAGCTCCACTCATTCCATTCTCCTGGTGGCCCCAAGAGCATCACATCTGGGACAGGAACAGCTACCGCAGCAGCGTACTGGGCAGTAGCCTTTTGCCAGCACTCAGGAGGATGACGAAGGGAGACAAGCTGAAGTCTGTGAGCTGGAACCGCAAAGGCATGAATAATTGATGCAAGGTAAGGGGAAAGCACTGGGAGCTACAGCTGAGACAGCAGTTGGCCAAGTTTGCGAGGCTCTACACTTGCTTAAGTCCATGTTTCTCTTCTTCATGTTGTATTCAGCACAGGAACTCTGAAACGCTTCAGCTACCCAGTTTTAGGGAACATACCCTCAATGAGAACTACCCTACAGTGATAAAAATTAAGGAAGGGAAGGAAAATCTGTTGCAGACACATGGATTCTCTTTTCACCAGTCCGCAGTCACACCTGCAACTGCTTAGAGCTCATATAAATGGCTGCGGCAGCCATCAACATCTGCCCTCTTGCATTCAGCTATGGCCACCCTCCAGAGGATAGCTGAGATGTTGACATGCCTACTGACCTGGTTCAGAGATGAAAAGACAGCAACAACAACGATACAGAGGTACTCGTGCTACCCTTGACTGGGGAATCTTGGCATGGGTGAAAAGACTACCAGAGGAGAAGAAGCCTTTGCTGAGTGGCAGAAGAGGAGGAGGACAGTCACATCACCTCAGGACTTGGTGAGGAGCAGAACCAGGTGGGTGAGTGTTGGTCCCTACCGCAGCTGACTGCACAAGGGGCTGCTGCTACAAGAAAAGAGGAAAAAAGGTAGGAGGGAAAGGGACAGACTGAGAAATAAACAAAGGCTTCTCTACTTTTCTAAGTAGTA